TTTAGTGCGGGGGGTGCCTGAATTTTATCTTGCCTAGGGCAGCTCCAAACCAAAATACACCACAGCTCGTCCATGTGCCGGTCACTATTTAAACCAGCGCACGCTGTATGTAGCTTCTGAGAAGATACGCTATTAGTGCAGCCAGGAAGCAGGCTTCGCGTTTTGCATACCTCCTGCTATGCTAATAACGCAGTCTGACAGAAGCTAATAAAATGCCCCCGGATTTCATTTTAAAAATCTGGTCACCTTATTTTAACAGCAATGCATCTAGTTTTTAATTTAGCAAACCAAACAGCAGCTGGGCTGGGTAGCCAGGGAAATGAAGATTTAGCTGTAATGAACCTTGCTCCCTTCCACCAGACATCTGAAATAAAGAGATGGTTAGCATAAATGAAACAAGGCACCAAGTCAATATCCACCTTTTGACCACAGTTCCTGGATTGCAGGATTAATATTATGAAACCTTTGTGCTGCCTAGAAACCTATGAACATTATTACCAGCTGGCTCAATATACCTGCATGGTAGCAAGACAACCATGGCAATAGTGGCAAAAAGACAATTTTTCACTGTTTCTTAGTTCAAAAGCAGTCACATCCTTTATGCCACAGAAAAAATGGTAGGCAGTCTTAAAAATGCACAGTTAGTATCTGACAATATTTTGGAAGTCAGTAATATCAACCTTTTTTTTTATCATGGGCTGCTTGACAGCAGGTATGTTTTACCTTCATCACTGAAAGTAGCCAGAGGCAAGACAGGATATTGATTTATCACTTCTTACAATTATTCTGGCTTAGGGTGTCAATAAAGAAGCAAGAGATCCACTGGCTCATTGAGAAAAAATGCTAATTTGTTGTTTAAGGTAACCTCCTCATGTATCACTTCTCCCTCCCTTTTAGATTGTAAGCCCTCAGGGGCGGGGCCCTCCTTACCATCTTGTCTTAAATTGTATTGTGATTGTAATGTTGCCTCACACCATGGCCGCCAGGTACAGTGTAGTGCATGGGGCCTCCTTCGGCTTGGCAGGATTCCTGTTGACAGAGTTGCGGGTGCGCATGCGCGATGTGCGCAAGCATGCGGCAGACAGGCTGTGCGACGTGTGCGCGCGCGCGATGGATGGGCTGCGTGTGCGTGCGCGGAGGCGTGTGCCTGCGGCCATTAGTGTTGTCAGGTGTGGGTCTTGCTGGGGGAGGTTCCTGGCACACAACTTCCGTTTTTACCTCCTGCCATTGGCTCCTGGACTGGAAAGCCTCCTGGTTGTCTCGGCGACCGGGGGCGGTCCTGGTTCCCACTGGGTATATATTCCAGCCAGAGCCCTGGCTTGTTGCTGAGTTATTCTGCCTATATGGTGCAGTTACCTAGCCTCTTGAATCGGATACTGCTGCAGCTTCCTGACCCCTCATCTGAACTCCTGGTTATTGACCCCTTGGCTTGTCCTCCCGCTTTTGATCCTAGCCGTCTGCCTCGACCCGGACTGAGCCTTGACTATGCTTTTGGAATTGCCCCCTTTTGTACCTAGTTGCGGATCTCCGGTCTGTTTCCTGCCAGTGGGTTCCACTCCACGTCTTGGGCCAGTGACACCCCTGACAAATGTCTTCCTTATATTGTAAAGCGCTGCGTAAACTGGCGCTATATAAATCCTGTATAATAATAAATGACTGGAAGGTCCCTGACCAGCTATCTATTCCACACAAGGCAGACATGTACTGACAATGTATTTTATACTAAGGCTGAATGCCACGCAATGCTAGTTTAAAACTGAACTCTATGTAGATATAAAAGACACATATTAATGCAGTTATTTTGTCATTATTAATCATTAATTGTATTTTGAAATGTAACTAGTCTAAGCAACTGCATATGCCATGCTGTCAGCCTTTTTAATAACCTATACAGCAGCACCCAGACTTGGTGAGCTTGGGATCGGACTGGGAACCAATGAGGTGTGCTGCATGCAAATATGCTATCAAGCAACAAGCTGACTGGAGAAGAGAGCAGAGTGAGGAGATAGTTAGCTTCATCACTGTCGTGCTTCTGGATGAATGAACAGAAACGTTATAATTTGGCAGGTAAAACAGCTCCCTTATATGTAATTCATCTGTGTATTTAGATTTTTGCTTTTAAAACCTTAAAATGGCAGTAGTAAAAATATTGTGTAATTTATGTGAAAATATTGTATATACATATAAGGGGGGCAGAGCTATTATACGGTAATAACAATGTTCAATTTGAATAAACCATGATAAAAAAAATAACAAAATCTACATTAACCCCTTAAGGACCAAGCTTCAGATGCTTGTATTTCAGTTAAGGACCAAAGCAATTTTTGCTGTGTGTGTTCAACTGCAATTTCCATCTTTCTCATTTATTGCACCAACACATATTATATACCATTTTTTAAAGGACAAAAAGGGCTTTAACCACCTGCTGTCTGGCCATTGTAATTGAATGCGGGTGGGCGTTTTTAAACGTGGGAAATCAGCCTTGAATGTAAACAGCCAGCGATGGCTGTTTACATACAAGCATTCGGGTGTCTGTAGAGACGCCCGATCGCTTGCAATATGCGTGCAGGTGTGCGCCCCCCTCTGTTGCAGCCGCTGCTGGCGATCCCGAGCTCCACCGTGCCCGGTGTGAGCCCGGGACCAGCACAGCAGCTCTGCAGCCGGAGATCAAATGGAGCTCAGTACACGATCTCTGTTTGATCTCCTCCTCCTCTTCGGAATGCAGGAAGTGATGTGTATTACATAACTTCCGCATTCCTCTGTCTCTCTCCGGTACCGAAACCGGAGAGAAGCTGGTGAAGCAAGTGTTTGTTTCATCAGCTTCTCTGGGGGTCCCTAGGTGACATTATGATGTCTCCATAACTGACACTGAAAATTGGCTATCACAAAGGGGGCTTGTTAGTCCCCAATGTGATAGCAATAAAGTTAAGTGAAAAAAAAAGGTTTAAAAGAATTAGTTACAAAAAATATATAAAAAAATTAAAAGTCACATATAAAGGTAATAAAAAAAATTTTAAGTCCCCCTCCCCCCACATACACGTGAAAACATGCGTCGAGGCGCCTACGTGCGGAAACGACGATTGCATCCATTATGCTGCACATGTTACATAGCGCCGCGAACGTCGGAGTGAGAGCAATAATTCTAGGGCCATCAATCACTGATAACACTAAACTGATGAGCGTTAAAAGCTTTTAAAGCGTCGCCTATGGCCAATTTTGGGTATGGTAGTTTTTGCGAGTTCGCGGGCGCATGCAATTTTAAAGCTTGACATGTTTGGTGTCTATTTACCCGACCTGACCCCGTCTTTTATATTTTGCCAAAAATTTGGGTAATAATAATTGTTTTATAACATAACTTAGGGAAAACAGTTTTTTTTCTCGAAATTTGCGGTACTTTTTTCATTTTATAGTAAAAAATAAAAACCCCAGTGGTGTATAAATACCACCAAAAGAAAGCTCTATCTGTCCCCAAAAAATGGTATAAAATTTATTTCAGTACAGCGTTGCATGGCGGAATAAATGTCAGTCAAAGTCCCGCAGCGCTGAATACTGAAAAATGGCCTTGCCAGGAAGGGGGTGTAAACACCCCGGTCAGCAAGTGGTTAATTTGATGGGACATATCCATATATAAGTTCTCATTTAGCGCATGATGGAAGCTTAAAACTTTAAGGACCCATGACGGAATTATTCCGTCATGGGTCCTTATGGCACGGACAACCATGATGGAATAATTCTGTTATTGGTCCTGAAGGGGTTAAAGTGATATTAAAGTCAAAAGGTTGTTGACTAAAACACAATAGATGTTACTCCTTGATGTTTAAAAGTTTTAGTTTCATACAGAATCAGCTGGTCCCCTGAGCAGTGGCCCTGATATCCTGTTTTAGGGTGGCTATACTTTCCCTTGCAGGGTCCTATGGAGCCACCCTTCTGTGTGCTAGTAAGCTGTGAGCGTCTCTACAAACACACAGGCACTGCAAGGCAACCCACTCTGCTGCTCCCAGCTCCTCCTTCCTCCAACTTCCTGCTCCCTTCTCTAGGCTAGTAGATGGACAGCTGCTGTAGACTGTGCTTTTCCTTGTGATCTTGTACTAGACAGGAAGTTCAGGGAAGCAGAGCTTTCACTCACCTCATAGTTCTAGCCGACCTGTGACAATGAGACTGTCACAGGTCGGCTCAGTAGATCGGCAGGTGAGCGAACACATACCGGAGTTCGCTCACCTCTCGATCCTGTCACGGCTCTCTGCTGTGACAGGGGAGGGGCTGGATTACCCCTCCCCGCTCTGATCCGCCAGCGATGACTGGCGGAACGGATGGGAGAGGGGGCGGGTACAGCTGGCTCTGCCTCTAGATAGGCAGAGCCAGCTGTCAGTCACGCAACTGGGCGGATCCCGGCACAATTGTCGGGATCCGCTTCAGCTGCGGCGTCTCAGTATACCGCGAGCAGCAGCCTATACTGAGGCTAGGGTGACGTGAGGACGCTAGTTTGTGTCCTCCCTTTACCCTAAGGAGAACTATGGGGAAAAGCCTTAACCCCATAGTTCTCCTTTAAGTAAGTGTATGTGTCAAATTCTAAATGCTTTGGGCATTTTGAACCTTCACAACAGTATTGAGAATAATTGTGCTTTATGCACCAGCTTGTTAGCAATGTTTTCGTGGAAAGTATTCTAAAAAGTATTCTGTGCATGATGTTGTTCCAAGCTGGCATTGTTCACAGCACCAGTGTGCAAAAAGCTGTAGGATTTTCAGGTGTCCATATTATGAAGCAGGCATTGTGCTGCAGGAGTATGTGCTTCCTTTTGTGGTGCTGCAAGTCTTTCCAATAAACTTTGAATCAGATTCTGAAAATACCAAATATAAAAAAATGGTGTGAGTAGGCCTTGGTAATTCACGGTGGCTCTATGTGTTTTTTGCTGGGAAGATTACAATTGTCAGTCAATGCAGCAGGAAATCCAGTTCTACAGGTCTCGCCTTGGAGGACGGTGTAAGCACTGAGCCGTGGGTTCAGGTGTCACACTATTTTTCAGGAAGTAGGAGGCTGGTAGAAAGTGATCCAGGTGAAAAGCAGGAAGGTAAGAAACACCGACTCACTGTAAAAGATAATCAGAAACCGATACAGAGAAACTAATCAAAGGTGGCAGAAGAACGTAAGAGATATAACTTTAAAAGAAAGTATATTTATACCCTCGTTTTGCTGTTTGTATTGTTTCTAGTGTGCTATGAACTGAGCATGTGCTCATAGTTTGTGCTTTTCTTCATAGAATGGGACCTCCATTGAGGCTGCATGAGCTGATTCGAGCCATCCGCAGTGTTAAGACACAGAACGAAGAGAGAGAAGTGATCCAGAGAGAGTGTGCAGAGATCCGCTCGTCTTTTCGAGATGAGGACTCCGTGTACCGCGGACGAAGTGTGGCTAAACTGCTGTACATGCACATGCTGGGTTATCCAGCACACTTTGGACAGGTATGTTTAAAGGATGCACAAATTGTGTAGAGGGGGATGTTTGGTCTCATACACATATGTAAACCAATAATGCATTATATTTCATCTCCAGGGCCAGAGTGGTCCTTTAGAAAGGACATACATATAAAGAGACTAATGTATGAGAGGGACAAACGTGACACAATTAGCCAGGTATACAAAGCAAATGATCTCATCTTGTGAGGTTAGGCAGATATATTCACCATACTGAGCTTGCTCTCAGCTGTACTGGCTATTTGTTTTTCTACAGTCATTAACCAGCCAGGAGGGAAGAGAGGTTGTACATGTCAGATAAACATAATAAAACTATCAATTTGTTTCATTATAAGTAACTTTACATTAAGATAATTCAACATTAGGCACGAGCTCGGGTTCAGTCCGAACCAGAGCTCCTCTGAACACGAATGGAGAACCTCTAAACACAGAAGGAAGCTCCTTTCGCTGCAACCCGCTCTGCTGTGGAATTCCCCACCCGCAGTTGCACGTAAGGATAGGGGCAGGATGCAATGATGTAATTGACCTTGTATGGCCACATGGCTTTATTTGGTCAATGACATCAGCACATAGAAGGTCAATGGCATCACCACAAACATCCCTGTTGGTTATGTGCAGCTGTGGGACAGGGAATGCCCTGGTCCATAGCTGATTGGGCAGCAGTGTTCAGAGGAGCTCCTTTGTGTCTGGAGGAGCTCACGTTCAGACTGGGTTTGGCCCAAACCTGAGCTCATCCCTATTAGACACCTATTAGGCATACTAATCATTGCTTACATAACCTCTTGCCATCATCTAGACCTGGAAAAAAAGTATGTATTTTTCTTGTAATTTATTTAGCATTTCCCCCTTTTCTCACAAAGTTTGCAGGGTTTGTGAGGATGATGGGGTGACACATTGCTCATCTTTGGATGTAGCTCTGGCTTGAACTAGCTAATATTTTATGCTGGGTATGGATACTACCCTTCTACTATTGTTTCCATGGCTTTATTACCATTGATGTTGTATTAATAGAAATGATTACTACTAATGTTTATATGTGGTCATTTAGCATATTTAGTTTAATTTTTTTACATTAAAGCATATGGTTTCTTTTTTTAATTGAAGTTTTAATTTTTTTCCGTTATTTTATGGACAGTAAAAGTTCTAATGTGTGGAGGGGCTAGGTGGGAACCCCTAGTTGTAATAGATTAACCTACAAAAATCTATCCTTCTATGATTCTCTTGTCTTTGATTTCAGATGGAATGTTTGAAATTGATAGCCTCCCCCAAATTTACTGACAAACGAATTGGATACCTAGGCGCTATGATGTTGCTGGATGAAAGGCAAGATGCTCATCTACTGATAACCAACAGCATGAAGAGGTAAGATACTGCACAATATTCTCAGGGCCTTCCATAATGATTTTTATATTCATGAGAGTATTTATATTCATGAGAGTATGGTCATTTATATGCAGTCTAACAATGAATGACGCATTGTACACATGATGCACACATTTATATTTTGGACAGGTCATATACTGAACAAGTATTTTCAGTATGATGTGTCAGTATTCTTCAAGAATCATGTACCAAACCTTTGTTACTCACAGCCACCAATCAGATGCCCTATTAAATTACAACCAAATAGTATTGACACTTTCACACAAGAGGACATTGCATTAAAAAGAACCAACTGTACAAAATGTTCAACTCTTTTAACATCCTGGGAATATCTGCAATGATCATTTGCATTTGTACAACAAAACATACATGTGGACAAAAAATGTTCACTACTAACATACTAACTACACCACTAACAGCTATTTTACCCTGACCCATTGGTTTAAATGTGCATTCAGCCTTGACCATTTTGACTAACAGTCTCAGCGTTTTATCGATTGTATTTTTCTCTCCAGGGACCTAGAGCACAGCTCCTCTGTGGTGCAAGGCCTGGCTCTGTGCACATTGGCCTGCATGGGATCAACCGAGATGTCTCGAGATCTGGCTGGGGAAGTGGAGCATCTTCTACAAACATCAAATTCCCATATCAAGAAAAAGGTGCTGCAATAGAGTTTGTTGTATTGTGATGGGGAAAGTAATATGCCAAAGGGTGGGAAAAGAAGACAATTTGGAAAGGGAAGAGTTAATTCTATCAATCTATGGCTTTTATGATCTAGTTTTCCCATTCTCTCTCTGTAACCCAAAAAATATAAATATACCTTTTACTTTCCTCCTCTAAACAAATCTTTCTTTGCTCATGTTCATTCCTTATTTCTTCTATCCCACCTTTGCTCACCACCAGTTCACATCCACAGGCTGTCCTCTGTGCTGTGCACATCATCCGGAAGGTCCCTGACTTAGTGGAAATGTTTATTCCAGCTGCTGAGGAACTTCTGACAGAAAAGAGGCATGGTGAGTCTGGTCAAACCTATTGATCCATGTTGATATCATGACTGTATATGAAACCAGAAAGTAGGAAAATTGTATAAGCTTGATGGTTTAGTTGTAATTGTGTATATACAATATATATGAGCCAGGACATTGACTAGCTGATGTGGGTGTATTGCAGGTGTATTATACGGAGCTGTACTTCTGGTTACAGAGATCTGCCAGAGGCATCCTGAAGCCTCCAAACGCTTTCGCAAGGTAACATTAAACTATAATAAGAATGTGACACCATATCATTATTAGAGATGTTCATTTACTAAATCCCTAGTGTTAGCATTAAGGAAAAGGCATGTACAAATATATTTATATTATATATTATCAGTTTATAGAATAGGTGAACTCGAGCAATTTTTTTTCATTAAAATCCTCAATTAAAATTAAAATTTAAGATGACACGGAGTCTAATGTGCATAATTTATATCACTGTATTTAGGTAATTGCTTGCTTTGAATAGCAGCAACCTGTGATTCCAATTACCTAACCATTAAAGTAGATGTAAACTTTAGTGGCGCCTGCATGTCATTGTTAAGAACTGGCTTCCTGGTGGCAGCAATGGCATAATAAGTCTATGCAACGAGAATCTGCTTGGCTGCTTATTGCCTCCTTTAGAAACCTATGTAACAGCGTGACAACACAGGAAAGCATTTGGGAAATTGGGACGGAGCTTTGGCACAGGAAATTCCTAAAACAAAGACCTTCATGGCAGCAATACCGGGTATTACGTTAGTGAAAGCAGTAGATTTAACTAGATTCAAAATAACTTTTATAATTGCCAATTAACATTTTTAAAGATATAAGATTTTAGTGACTGGGTTTACATCTATTTTAATCTACATAAAACTTACCTTGTCTCTGTAGTATATCACAGTAATTATGATTAGTTTTTGCTCTTTCACTCTCTCCTTAATGCAAAGAAAATACATTAAAATTAGATGAGCTAAAGATGTTCACAGACCAGGGCCGCACTGCTAGTCTGTAAATGTAAGTATTTGTCAGAAGTGCTGGACTGCTTTAGTATTTGTAGTGCCTGTTCAAGCTTAGTTAACTGTGTTTTAAGAAACATAAAACTGGCCACAGTCTGTACAAATTCTGAACAATTATGTCATAACGTAATGAGTGACCTTTTGGTTCATTGGATTGTTGATTCTGATCTTTACAAGGCTTGGTCTGGTTAGCTTTATATTAGAGGGCTAGTCATAATTTCAGCTGAACATTGCCATAGATATTAGATGACAACCATCCATTACTTGCCCATTAAAATACGTTTTTGGGATACAACAAAAACCTTTATGGTCCATTTAAACAGTATATTGTATATTGCAAAATGATTAATATTATTATACAGGATTTATATAGTGCTAACAGTTTGTGCAATGCGTTATAATAAAAAGGGAGACAGTAAGTTAAAATACAATTCAAGACAAGATGGTTAGGAGGGCCTGCTGATGAGAGCTTATGACACAGTACATTGCAAAATGACAGATGCGCCTAAATATCTTTCTCCAGTAAAAAAAAGTAGCACACTTGGAGATAACAGGCTCGCTGTGTGGAACATCTTTCTTCATGGTATGCTGCTGTAAGATTTTAAAATTAAGCTTTGAAATGCATGCAGGGAACAAAGGTAAGCTGGTCAGGTCTTCTGTTTTTCACCCAGGCATAGCTTAGTGCATCAGGCTACCCCATTGCTTACAATAATTTTGCTGAGAGTAATCTGGTGACGCTAGAAATGATTCAATCTGGTACAATGTGCAATAATCATCCCATATATTTACTGCAGTATGTAACATTAACTAGCATAATAGAGGACCATAAGGGACCTGTGTCAGCACTGCTAATGGTCAGACTGGTTGGAATTTTTGTATACATTAATGTATTTATCTTTGTTTATAAAGCAGACATGCATAGATTAACATAGCCTCACAATCACTGATTAGGCACAGCATACTTCTAATAGTTGAAGTTCATGTTGGCTGAAAGGTTTTTAATGTTTCTAAATGGGTAGCTTTCTTTGTGTATAGAAACCTATAACTCCAGAGTGGACCATGTACAAGAAATACCAGAAGCGATGATAACAAATATTCTACCAGAACTATTACAAGTATTGTGCAAAATGCAGTTCTTATCTCCAATATATTTTTTTTCATGGACTCTAGATTCTCCCACTAATTCTGCAAAAACTAAGGCAGGTCATGTCGGGTTATTCTCCAGAGCATGCCGTGGCGGGCATCACTGACCCCTTTTTACAGGTAATGTGCCAACTACAGTGCACTACCGTTCTGTGTATGTGTATGTAATGTGGATGTAAAACCATTCCCATATTTCACTGTGCCTCTGGCTACTGTAATTTACTGTCTGCTCAAATGAGTTCCTGTTTATTTATATATTTATTTTAGGGCTGGTAATGATTAAAATTTTCCTGTTCGATTAATCGAAATAAATTTTAATCATTATTGTACCACGTAGAAAGCTTTTTAGTTTTGGGTACAATATGGAGATATCAGAATCTTTGGTGTTTCTTGATGTCTGTATCCTCCATTGGGGGATTCATCTTGTCTGTTTGTCCCGGCCACCACTGTCGCTATGACAGAAAGTTATGGGAAAACCAAAATTTTACAGTTGTCACCAGAACAGAAATAAAATGGGAATCTTGCAATGGAGACATTTATTCTGGTGACAACTGTCTAAGAGGGAGATTTCCTTTCTCATCCTCTTGTGTCTTCTGGACAAAATGTGAAGGGAAATCTTCCCAATGAACCACAGATACCTTAAAAAAACAACCCTCTTCTTGAGCTACATAAAACGAATAAAAGAAAAAAAAAATTGTTTGATTACAGATGTACTGTATTGTGCGTAAGTTTTAGGCGCTCGTGACAAAATGTTGTAAAGTGAAGATAGTTTTAAAAAATATTGAAATGAATTGGTTTTCTCTATAATTTAACAACCTACAAAGTGCATACAAGGAAATAAAACTAACAGGTCTATTCACAAAAGGGTGCAGAGTTTGGAGAAGGCAGGAGAAGTGAACAATCTAGGACAACATAGCTGAACTGGAAAGTGAGCTGAATTACAGAATTCTTCCAAATCAGCTATTTTGGCCTAGATTGATCACTTCTCCTGTCTTCTACAAAAACTATTCACCCTTTAGTGAATAGACCTGTACATTTATATTTGGTATGTCTACCCTTTGCCTGTAAGGGCCTGCTCACATCATAGCATTGTGTTTAGTGCACGCTGTCGCACAGTGCATTATACCACACACTAGGTGCACTTCTACATTGCATTGCCCTTTTCTCACTGGCACCCCAAAGCACCTCCAGGTTTCCATACATTTTAGCGCCGCACAATGCCAGTTACACAATAGAAACTCGCCTACAGACAAGAACTAATGTGCTGAAAATGTCAACAGGTGCTCTGGATGTAGAGTTTGCAATTTTGAAACATATGGCTATAACAAAGATAGTTTGTTTGCTGAAGGCCTGTAGAGTGGTACATCAATGAGTTGTTGCAGGCAACAGTGAAGCATGGTGGAGGTTCTCTGCAGATTCAGGGATGCATTTCTGCACATTGATTTGGGGATGTGGTCAAAATGAATGGTACCCACAGAGCCCTGATCTCAACATCATTGAGCCTGTCTAGGATTGCATGAAGAGACAGAAGCAACTGCGACAACCTAAGTCTACAGAAGAACTATGGTTAGTTCTGCTAGATGTAGTTTTTTTTCTGTGTATGCACCTTTCAGGTTGTCAATTGATAAAAACTATTCATTGCATTATTTTTTAAAGCATCCTCACTTCACAGCATTTTCTCATTAGTGGCTAAACTTTTATACAGTATTGTTCTTTAAGGTCCCATTTAACTGGTGAATGGGGCCAGATCACAGAGTCTCACAAATTCCTCCATGAGACTGAGGCGATCTGCTGCGGGCAGGAGGTGCTGTATTATCCAGTGACGACTGGATGCACCTTGACGCAAACGGTCTGCATCCAGGAGCCATCTGCAGGTAATCCCCTGCAGAAGCTTCTGCAATAACTTGCGAACAGTTTGCAAACAGCTGTAGGCGGTGGCAGCTGTTATTGTATTGTACAGCTCCTCCTGCCCGCAGCAGGTCATGTAAGTCTCATGGGGGAATTTGTAAGACTGTGCAATCTAACCCCATTCACAAGTGCGAATAGGACCTAATGAAAAGCAATGGATTTTGACACTCACCATATTAAAGGAGAAGTATTGGGCGAGTAAAATGTATTCTTTCCAACACTTTGAGCTGGGGTGTGCAGGTGTCTTATGCTGGCTCTGTAGATCAAGAGCTGAGTGACCATATGACTTCTGATGTATTCTTTCCAACACTTTGAGCTGGGGTGTGCAGGTGTCTTATGCTGGCTCTGTAGATCAAGAGCTGAGTGATAATATGACTTCTGATGGCTCAGCTCACGGCTTCTCCCTGCAGAAAACAGTAGCTGACAGACAGGTAGATTTCTGCAATAAAATCTGTTAAAAGCCAAGAGGGTGTTATATTAAACCAGACCTGACCTAATTGGAAACCGGGCAGCAGTACCAGTACTCCTAATTTAACCATAGCCATCTATACTTTAAATCTGAACTGAACACTCCTTTCTGTTATACGGTCTATATTAATGAACTGCACTGGTTATCTGACTTCCCAGCATCATAAATCACCATGCCTGTCTTGATTAATTGTGTTTATTTTTGTTCCCTAAACATCTTTGTCATGGTGCTTGTGGTTATATATTGACAACTATTAGCTCAACCATTCTTTTCTCTTTCAGGTGAGACTCCTGCGACTACTGAGAGTGTTAGGACAGAATGATGAGAGTGTCTGTGATGCCATGAGTGACCTGTTAGCGCAGGTTAGTGCCTTGTCCAATGACAGTGTTCTGAAGAATGCACAAGACTTATACAGCTGGACTCACCTAGCTTATTTTTTGTCTTTCAGGTATCCACATGCACAGAAACCCAGTCTAATGCTGGCAATGCTGTTCTGTATGAAACTGTCCTTACTATAGTAGAAACCAAATCTGCAAGTGGCTTAAGGGTAAGTTCTCCGAACATGTTTCCAATAGGCCTAGTTTCCAGAGCTTATGATCGCATTTACAGCAACAATTACTGAAATAATTTATGCTATGCCGCTGAGCCAAAGAACATTTAAAGAACATAAAAATGAATTTAAGCAGACACAGGCACTGCAATGGCTTAGGACAGGCACAATGACTGCAAAATCACACACAGATTCTGGGCTCATGCTGAGTCTATGGCCGTCCTGAAGTCACACACATCATGCACTGTCATAGAACACCAGCAAACCTGAGAACAGATATAATTTCTGTGGTTCACCGGACCATCTTTACTCTACCTCAGTCTATGACCCTTTTATTCCTTCTGGGACAATTACCGTCAAGTTATCTAGACATGTGAACACCTCCGTTTAGGGCAATACAGGAAGAGGAGAGGGGTGTTGCATGCATATAGCAGTGTTAATTTCAATTTAGTTTTAGTCTTATAAGTGAATTCATCAAAACTGGAACAGACAAAATCTGGAGCAGCTGTGCATGGCAACCAATCAGCATCTCTCTTTCATTTTCAAACCTTAACTGAACAAACTGAAGGGAGAAGCTGATTGGTTGCCATGGGCAACTGCTCCAGTTTCTGTCTGCTCCAGTTTTGATAAATTCCCCCCTCATTCAGGCTTTAAAGTAAAATGCCATTTTAGTTTTAGTCGTATTTAAGTCATCTGAATTGTTTTAGTTATAGTCTATTTTTAACGACTAAATCTCCAGTAGATTGTAGTTGTCTAAATCTCCAGTAGGTTTAGTCGACTAAAATCTACTGGGTTTATTTATTTGGAAGTGGGGATGGGGAAGTAAATGGGTGTGAGGAAGGGAACAAGTCTGAGAAGCCTGTTACACAATGTTTACTTGCTACGGAGATGGGAGGAGATTGGAGAAACACTCACGTGACAGTAGCGGCAAATCAGATGGATCAGTAACCTATGGAGGAGTATTCTCTGCGGTTTGCAGGGCTGTAATCCAGGCATCAGGGAGATCAGTGGAGCCTGCGTCTCAGCCAATCCAGCTGCCGATGGAGTCAGGGGACTTGGGCTTTGGCGGAGCTCCGAGTGAACCGTAAGGCCGAATAGATAAATGCAATAGTCCCTCCTATTTTTGTCGCATTTTCATTCATCGACACAAATTGCAACAAATTTTCGTCATAGTTTGAATCCTATTAGCTTAGTTTTTATTTAGTTTTCGTTTCGTTTTCGTCACTGAGAACATGCAGATGGCGAAAATGATGATGAAAATTCTTTGTCGACGAAATTAACACTGGCATATAATCTCGGCACCAAGGAAAATTAGTGATCATGCAACATTTTCTAACTTGAGACATTTTCTAACCTGAGACATTTCTTGTCCAGTTCAGCCAAAAAGGCCAAATCAGGGGACAGTCATGTAATGTTCATGGGCCCCTTTAGTTTGCTTTCATATATCATCTTTAAAAATAAATGTTCCCAGGAATATAAAAAGAAGACCATATATGTATTCCCATCACATCTCACAATGACTTGCAGGCAAAGATAGACATTATTAAAGAAAAAAGTCCTAAGAATCTCCTTGTATAATCGGAACACCCCATGAAGACATGTAACAGGATATGAGCCCTACAGCCCTCTAAATTGTATAACATTTGATATTTCTCTTAGCTAGATCCATTGTAAAAGAAAAGAGGAAAACAACTAAACCTTAAAATGTAGAAAGGGGACAGACAGCACAGAAAAAAGTAAGACGGTGTTAAATGAACTAAATCATTAACTACTCTTTCATAGGCCTTAGTAAGTACCAAAACAGACCACTATTTGCAGGGGCCCCAAGGGCCTCACATTAAGTGCAAAAAGGGTGGTTGCAGCCACAGCTTAATTAACAGGGCCTTATGTGCTTACTATTGGGGCAATGATAGTGACATTAAATCAAAACCTTCTGTCGTTGTGAATAAAATCTGTTGAGTACATGCTAATGCTGTATAAGAATGAGTCCAGTCCTCCATGCAGGAGTATTCATGGTATTTATGACAATGTAGTTTATGACAAAGTAGTAGGTGTTAATGACAAAGTTGTCATAATGTATATGGTGAAGGATTTGCGGGTGTGTTTTCTATTGCTATCTTTGATTACATTTCTCATAATAAAGTGCACCTTTTTACCAATACTGCATTGAGCCCTTTTGTTAAGCACTTTCACACTCCTTGTTGAGAGTAATTTTGTGCATAGCTTGCAGGCATGGTCTTGTAGTAAGTCTGGTATTACTGAAGGTAGAGATCATTTAAATGTAGCATAAATATTATTAGCTACAGATCAAACAAATAACAAATATGGTGGATTTCAAGCATAGTCTGGGGCCCTAAATTTGTGCATATGTTGTACAGCAAAGTAATATAGACTTCCATCCAGTGACTATATTCCACTGTAATAGATGTAACTAGGCAAATCATATTTGTGAGATTACTGTGCTTTCCTTGCCTTTGTTCGAAAACTATACCCTAATACTAATGATATGTCTTGCTTTTCTAGTCGTCTGCAGCTGAATACGAATAAACTTTGCAGATTTGCCCAATGCTAAGAAATATTAAATAAACCTTCACATTTCTTAGTATTCTCTTTTTCTTCTTGCAGGTTCTTGCTGTTAACATACTTGGACGTTTTTTGCTAAGCAACGATAAGAACATTAGGTATAATCTTTTTATTGCCCTGTGATTATTTCCCAAGAATTCACTTTCAGATTGCTTAGGGAAAGTCAATTCTTGCATACATCTTAAAGCCTTGTGTGTATTAATCAAATATTTATCTGGTCACCTTTGTGCTAAAACAGTGTTTCTCAACCTTTTTTCACTTACAGCACCCTTTAAAAGTATGCAAACTCTTGAGGCAGCCCAGTCTAAAATGTAAGAAACTCAAAAATCCATACTAGACCCTTATCCCAGATAGGGATCTGATATGGATTTTAAGGGGGGACCCCATGCAAAAACATAACAAAAATCGGGTTCCCTCTTTACATCAGAAACCCCTTTCAATTCAGAATCCTCCCTTTCACATCCAAGTCCCCCTTTACATCTAGAGCCCCCTCCTTTCACATCACCCCCCCTTCCCTAAAATTAGAAACACCCCCTTTACAACAGGAGCCCCCTTCTTGCACATTGCAGTCCTTTCTCTCACACTAGGAACCCCCCTTTACATCAGGAGACCTCTCCTTTCACATTACAATCCCCCTTCACACTATGATCCCCCCTTCACATCAGAAGCCCTCTTTCATATCAGCATTCCCCCTTCACATCAGAAACCTGCTTGCACCATGGAAAGGCATGGCGCTATGTGAAAATTTCGAGGCTCCCCATATGAAGCTAAACGGCACCCCAGGGTACCACGGCATCCTTGTTGAGAAAGTCTGTACTAAAATCACACACATCAGTAAATTTGATAAGTAGGTTCTGTCAGGCTAGCCTGTAGAGTAATAGGTGGTAAGTGTCTAAATCTAGCTTGTTTTACGTTGTCAGTTTATGTCCCAATTATTGTCTTTGATAATGAGACAGATAAGGACTATATAATAACATTCCATTTTATATTTCATCAGCTGGGTAAGTCAGAGTTTCCTTGGCCTACCCATGACTCATGACATATTTGGTGCCTTGGGGTCTTTCTGACAATCCTGTGACTTTTATTTGCATCTACATTATATATGTTTGTTGAAATGTTGTCTATTTTTATATGCACCTTTATCTTTTTTTTATTATTGCTCTTGTTTTTAGATATGTTGCCCTTACGTCCCTCCAACGCTTAGTACAGTCTGATCATGCGGCTGTACAGAGACATCGAGGTACAATCGTAGAATGCCTCAGACAGACAGATGCATCTGTAAACAAGTAAGGACACAACAGAATACAATATATTGTACTAAATACAATGATGTATACAATGTGATTTTTATATTTAAATAACACAAAGCAACCATCAAAGAGGGCCGTGGTGAACATTTCAGAAAGTGAGCTTACTGATCTGTACAAATATGAATTGGCCCAAGATCATTCCATTTCTGTTTGAAGGTGGACTCTCTCACCCTTCTGTATGTACTTTATTAACTTTAATTAAGTCAGCTTCCGAGTAGGAATCTAATTTCTTGCTCAGGGTGGCTAGAATAATAAAACACAAATTGGAGATGTGTTTGTTCATCTTTAATTTAAGGCTATCTTAAGGAAGAACTGTGGCATATTCAACATTAACCCTCGCAGTGGGGCTGCCCCCACACTGCAAGGGTTAAGTGCTGGTTTTGGTCCGGCTATGGAATGTCCCTTGGCATCCTCACCTCTAATGCAAGTGAATGTCCTTGATGTTATGGGTCCTTGAACCACTGGAGCCCAGGAAAGAGGCTGGGGGAACTGGTCTAGCAGTCAGATGGGTCTGAGGTTCGAGTATATCTTTGTTATTTTATACCCTAGACCAAAACGAGCACTTAATCCTTGCAGTGGGGGGTAGCCCCACTGAAATGGTTAATGTCTAATACACCTGGAGTTCTTCTTTAAAGTTAAAGTAACTTTTTTTATATAGTTTTGGATAGAGTAATTGAGGGTTATAACCCCTGCCAGCTTTTTTTGCAAACTGTGTTCCATTGGGGAGATTTACCTTCATGTCCTGTCCAATATTTATAACAGGAAGTGAGAGGAAATCCCTTCAAAGTGAGGGAAATCCCTGGTGGTCAGCAGGGTTGCCTGAACTAGTGTCTACATAGTGGAACTGATGTCTACATTTGAAGATTTCCCATTTATTCTTATGACAATCCAATACAGAAGCTGAATCTCTCTAATGGGATCTCTCTAATGGGGACGCAGAGAGCAAAAAAAAACTGATAGATGTTCTAATCCCTCTCCACTCTGTTCAAAACTAAAAAAAAAATTGGCTTCAGTAGCCCTTTAAGGCAGATATAAAAATGATAATGATTGCAGTTTTCTGTTAATTGGAAAAAATGAAATGTACATTTAAAAACATGTGTACTGATCTAAATCTGTTTTGATATGAGCATCCTCTAATCCTGTACAGCAGCACTCAGGCTGGGTGAAGTAAGGGCAGAACTAGGAACCAGTGCATATTTTCTAACAAAAGGAGAGAGCATGTTGAGCAGAGGAATGATCTCATCAGTGTGCTGCTTCTCCTTTAGTGTCCAATCAGAAGGCTTGGGGCTTGTTCTTGTCTAGGCTATGTTGCTATTTCTGTTGAGATTGAAGATTTTGCCATGCTGTCTACCAGGGTTGTCTGCATTACAAAACTGGCTCTAAGGATTTACACAACAGTTGCCATAAATGTAAGTTCGGATGCATATTCAGCTGCTTGCCCAAAATTCAAGTTTGATATGCTTAAGTTTTTCATCTTTTCCTATTTTAGGAGGGCTCTGGAGTTGTGCTATGCCCTTGTGAATGAGTCAAACATCCGCGTAATGATGAAAGAGCTTCAGAAGTTTCTACGGAATTGCTCACCAGATTTGAAAGAGCAGTGCACATCTGGAATCTTCCTCAGCGCTGAGAAGTAAGATGACGTGGCAACATCAAATTATTTGCAGGATGTTTCATTGCTGATTTTGAAGAATATAAAACATTACAATTGACAAAAAGAAATAATAACACACATTGACAAGATCTGTGAATGAAGAGACCACAAGTCCCATCAGCCACAATACAAGTGAAGTGATGTCACCACATTTGTAGTCCATTCATTCTTCCTCCTGCCCCTGTTGCTGAGTGTTTGTATTAAGGAATGGACATGGATGGGAGGGAGAATCTGCATGCACCAGAACATTGCACCTGCGATCTGCTGATCTTGGTTGCAATGCTAAACTGGCTCCAATGCAAAACAAACATTGAATGGCAATTATTCTTTTAAGAATAAGTGTGCATTTATTATTTTTTCTAAAAGGTCTTTGGACTTTTGGACTTTGCCTTTAATGCAGAGTGAAAACTCACATCTCTTTCCTCCTCAGGTTTTCCCCTTCGAAGCGCTGGCACATAGATACCATAATGGAGACACTAATTGCAGTAAGTGATACCGTTGTTAGCTTATTGCATTCTATATCACAGCATCCCCTAGAATGTGACTGTACTTATATAATTCAGCTGAATCTTTAGAAAGAACTGCAGGCAAACAAGCCATGGGTATAGCTCTAAATAAAGCTGCATTTCCTGACACCAGGCAGGCCCTGCACCGTCGCTATTCGGTGTTGGAGCCATACACGGAAGCACAATCAAGGGGCGGAGTTAGCCACTGGTAAATACAGAGGCCTGTTTCTATGTCAGGATGGCCCAGCACAACCGATGATTCCATGAAGGCAGCGCTGGATCACTTCAGGATTACTACAGCAGTGCCCAGCAAATTGTTACTACAACAGTGCCCCGCAGACTTTTACCACAATAGTACCCAGCAGATTATTACTACAACAGTGCCCCCACAGACTATTACTACAACAGTGCCCAGCAGATTTTTACTGCAACTGCGCCCAGCAGATTGTTACTACAACTGCGCCCAGGAGATTACCACAACAGTGCCCAGCAGATTTTTACTGCAACTGCGCCCAGCAGATTGTTACTACAACTGCGCCCAGGAGATTACCACAACAGTGCCCAGCAGATTTTTACTGCAAACAACAGTGCCCCGCAGACTTTTACCACAATAGTACCCAGCAGATTATTACTACAACAGTGCCCCCACAGACTATTACTACAACAGTGCCCAGCAGATTTTTACTGCAACTGCGCCCAGCAGATTGTTACTACAACTGCGCCCAGGAGATTACCACAACAGTGCCCAGCAGATTTTTACTGCAACTGCGCCCAGCAGATTGTTACTACAACTGTGCCCAGGAGATTACCACAACAGTACCCAGCAGAATACTACAACAGTGCCCTACAGATTATCGCTACAGCGGTACCCCGCAGATTATTACTACAACAGCAGCCAGAAGATTGTTAGTGTAACACTGTCCTGCAGATTGTCGCTATAACAGTGACAATCGTCAGCAACCCACTTCTCTGTGATCCTGCCAGTAGGTCGCCCAGCGGCTTCCAGCACACTGCACGTCCTACTTACTGCTCTCTGCTCATCTTCCGGTTCTGGCAATTCTGGCATCAGTAGTAGCACCGGGCCCAAATTGTGTTCAGCCCTGTGACAGAGGTGTGGGGGGAAAGAAACACAGAGAGGGAAAGAGTGGTTTTTAAGACCCTTGTCTAGCGGACTCTTTATTAAGGGGCATACTGCAATAGGATACAGCAAGGGTAGAGTCCAGGATCATAGGGCAGTAATCCAGACACAGCAAAAGGGTAAATAGCAACAAGGTACAGCAAGGATAGAGTTCAGGGTCACAAGGCAGCAATCTGGGTTCAGCAAAGGTTAAACGGCAATAAGGTATAGCAAGGGTAGAGTCCAGGGTCACAAAGCAAAGGGTAAATGGCATCAAGATACAGCAAGGATAGGGTTACAACTCACGCTTAGTGTGTCCGGTTACTCTACAGCAGGAGAGGGGTCCGCATTGGAAGGTAAGCCAGTAGTGGTCCATGAGCTGGTCTGTGGAGACTCTTCAGCAGACAAGCAGGATCTTAAGCAAGGAGGGTCTGGGGGTCCTGGGTGACCTGGCCACAGCTGAGGAACACCAGGCAGGCAGAATAACAGGGCAAAGGGACTAGAGAGAGCCCCGGCTCAGGTATTTCATCCCTGAGCTGAGACACCATCCTGAGACTGGGCAACCCGATGCTAAGCATCGGCTTGCCCCGGCAACAAGATCGCCTTCATTCCAGCTCGAGTGCAGCTTAGAGTTCAGCCTTTGCTCCCAGCAGAGGAGAGCACCATGGCAACATGCTGCCTGCAACTGCCTCTTCAGATATTACCCTTCCTGGCAGTAATCTCGAGTGTGCCTCGGGGTTAATTTTCCGTACCAAAAGCGGTAACCCCGAGCCACACTCGGGCGCCTTCCGGGTTCCTTCCCTGCGAGCGCTGGCATTGCAGGGGGGCGGAATCGGTGAGAAATTCAAAAGTAAAAAATAGAATAAAAGAAAAAATACTGAGATAATCATACCGCCAGGGAGGTTAAAGTGTATCTAAACCCAGAAGCAATGATATAATATATTGCAGCTTACCAGTCCTTAGATGTGGTGGCTCCACCACGTTTGCAGGCTTCCTTTTCCAGTACATTTTCCTCCTCTACAGGGAAATTCCTGTCTAATCTGTTTGAAATCCAGTGTCCTAGTCACTTCCTGTGCACTGAACTGAAATCTAAAATGATATCTGCCTTCCCAGAAACCTACGAACTGCAAAACACCTCTTATTTAATGCAGATGAGGAGATGAGGAAAGGAGGGGGTGTTTGTAGTCCAGATAAGGAGAGCGCAGCCTAGGGTGACAATGCTGCTTCTCCATATATACAGTGAAGTGAACATTGTCACCCTAGGACAGGAAGTGTGTTACTTGAAGTTAAGCAGAAAAATAACAAGAAACAAAATCTTGAAAAAAGATGAAGGCAGCTACCACATCTGAGGACTGGCAAGCTGCAATATATTACATTGGTGTTCCTGGGTTTAGGTACACTTTAAAGGAGCCCAACTTTCAGTAATAAATAATCAAACTTAAAAGCTGTTTACCTGCATCTGCCTTTTATCAAAAGATCATTTTGCATACAAAACGGAGCCTGTTGCAGGAATTGAAGGACTGATGTGGCATATAACATCCTGCTTATGTAACATTCAGAAAACATGTTGCCATGATACACTATATATTTTTATCCTGACTACTGCTGCTTTGTACTTCTTCCAATAAAAAAGTGTGGAGTTTTTAGTTAAAGGTGTCATGATTCCCATATGCCTAAGTTACTAATTTTTAGGAACTCACATTTAAGGCCTTGTTCACACCAAGCGCGTTCCAAGAGCAGAGCAGTTACAGACCGGATCAAAACTGCGTCCAATGTATTCCAATGGTATCTTGGGCTCTAGTTCACACCGCAGCGTTCAGTTCCAGGGCATGTAAAAAAAACTGCAGCAAGCCCTATTTTAACTGCTCTGGAACGCATGCAAACGCACTGAAAGACCATTTTAAACTAAAAAAAAAACAAAACATATTTTATAACCAAAAACGACCCTGAACGCAGCAAAAACGCGGCAAAACCCACTGCACTGCGTGTGCAGAAACTCATGCAGATCTGCTCTGCATTTGGTGTGAACAAGGCCTTAAACAGAGAAAGTAGACATGATCTGATATTACTGTATGTACTTTTCTGACCTTTATACCAGGGGTAGCCAAACTTTGGCCCGCTAGCTGTTGTGGAACTGCAAGTCCCATAAGGCATTGCAAAACTTTGACAGCCACAGGCACGACTTTTCCGAGGCAGATGCTTGATAGGCTTTGTAGTTATTTCACAGCTGGAACGCAGGGGCGTCCCAAGGCCGGGTGTACCTGCGCGGTCATCTAATTGACGCTTGCCGGCAGCCATCTTAGTGATGGACGCCGGCGGAGAGAGGAGGGGACATTCACTCGGCGGGTTGAGGTATGCCGCCGGGTCACCTCCTCTCTCCTGACACTGTCGGGCTCTCGGTCCATGACAGTTTTGAATTAGGTAGCACCCCGATATTGCATTTTTTACTCTTGAATGGTGTGAACAATACAAACTAAGCTTCTACCACTTCCTGTTCTAATGGGAAGTGAGGGAAAATGTCCTCAGTAGGGCAGCTGTTCATAGTCTTAAAGGAAGCTGCACTAAAGAAAAAATATGCAAGCTGTACTTGCTGCCCTCTCTTTTTAAAATCCTGTTTTTTATTTTCTGACTCTAATATTTGTGCTTGTTCTGGAGCAGTGACTAAGAGATTACTGAAAGCAGCATTAGCACGGCAACAGGTTTTGTTAGATGAATCTCATATGGCAGCCTCTTCATTTCTCTTGCTGGTTAACAGTATATTTTGGGGTGCAGGCTTTTCTTCATGCATGGTAGAAGTGATATTAAACACTTGCACTCTAAAATATTTATGAGGCTGTCCCATTTATGAGGCTGTTGCTTCAGACGGCATCTCTTTGGGTCACAAGGTGGAAGGGGGCGGCAGGCAGGGTGAGATGGCCACTTTGCTGCACAATGTTTGCAGTGTACCTGTGCTGCCCCCTTTTTCGCTAGAGTGTCCCAGGTTGGTAAGAGCCGGGAGATGTGTCAGAGCCATACACATCTCCATGCTCAGCTCTTAGCAACCTGAAATGCTTTGGCTGACATTCCGCCCAGCTCCGGGCAACCAGTGAGGTCACTGGGTGCCAGGAGCTGGGGGGGG